TACTCATCCATCCTTGGTAGGCTGTGGCCGTGACTGATGCACTCTGCACCTCAAAAGGACAGCGTGTTCGGACAACCCACTCTGAAAGTCCTCACTGCCACATCAGTGACTGGATGTAGCACAGTGCATCTGTAGGCAATCTAACACTAAATTCACCTTAAATTTTTTTAACTTCACTTGAAGATTAATTTGAAAACTTAAATGGTATAATAGCCTGAGGATGCTTTTACTTTTTATCATAACTAAGATTATTTTACTTTGGAAGCTGTTGGGTAGGAAATGCCAACTTCACCCTGCAAGGAAATAAGGATTCTTTGCCACTTCTAGAGACTCTGTAAATTGAGACAAGCAAGGAAATCAAAACACAAGTTCTATTTCCAGTTCAAGGGTCATATACTTTACTGTGAAGTGTCAAATCCAGGATTAGACATACAAGAATTCTTACATGGTCTGGATATTCATCTCCAAAAATTCACTGCTTTAAAAAAAACATTTTTAAAAAAACATTTACTCAAGGAGCGCCTGGGTGACTCAGTTGGTTAAGTGTCCATCCAACTCTAGGTTTCGGCTCAGGTCATGATCTCAGGGTTGTGAGATCGAGTCCTGCATTGGGCCCCATACGCGGCACAGAGTTTGCTTGAGATTCTCCCCTTCCCTTTCACCCAGCCCCTCCCCTCTCTCTCTGAAATAAATAAAATCTTAAAAAAAATTTTGCTCAAGACAGTACATACTAGGGGCGCCTGGGTGGCTCAGTCGGTTATGCATCTGCCTTCGGCTTAGGTCATGATCCCAGGGTCCTGGGATCGAGTCCTGCATTGGGCTCCCTGCTCGGCAGGAAGCTTGCTTCTCTCTCTCCCACTTCCCCTGCTTGTATTCCCTCTCTTGGTTTGTCTCTCTTTGTCAAATAAATAAAATCTTGAAAAAAAAAATGACAGTACATACTAAATATGTACCCCAGTCATAGCTTCTTGGGCTTTTGTAGTCATTAAACCAATCACAGAAATATATGAAAAAGTGACTAAAAATCACAGATATATATGACAAAGTGATGAAAAAAAGCAAATTCAGAATTTTAATTTGCTGAGGTACATAAAACATGGAAAACTGATTTTGCAGGGACCTAAAAAAGACATCTGAGGTCAACTTGTCATCATGGCTCAGAACTCAAATCATTCTCCAAACTCAAGAGATACAGCACACAAATCTTTAATTTCTAGAGTATACATTGTTTCCTTTAGATTTAAGAAAGATCACAAATGCAAAACACTGAAGCTCTTTTTATCTAATGCCAAACCTATAAATTGTTAACATTATTTATTAAGAATTCACAGTAATTGTCTTGCAGTTTGCAGATGCCAAGAAGTCATGGCAACAAAATTATAGAATAGTGTTACATAGATTAAAAAAAGTAAAATGCTTTGAAAAAAATTATTATAGAATAAATTACATTTTTAAATCAGAATGACTGACAAGTTTACATGGAACATCTGGGCTGCCGTTTAGAACTACTTGACCTTTAAAACTTCCAGCTAGCTAAAGCAGGGGAAAAACAGCAAAGGCAAGGCAAAAACATGGGACTAGTTCTGAGATGTGGGTACTCACTCCTCTTCTCTGGGCCTCAGAATTCTCATTAATGAAGTTGAACAGATCATCTTAAAAAAAAAAACAAACCCAAAACTCAAGGTCCCTTCATGAACAATTTAGCAGATGCCATTTTGTAAGAGGGCATAATCCCCTTTGAGAATCACTCCTGGAATCACAACTAGGCTTTTTTCCTGTCCTGTCTCATCACCTGACACACTCCTGAAACCAGAAAGCATCTTGCTCATCAGACAACAGCAGAACTATAAAAATATTTAGAAGCATTTAGGAGGTTCTTTTAATGCTTAATAATTACATGAAACATGACAAAGACAGACACAAAAGCTGTTAACAAGTCAAAGGAACCTTTTTAATCTCTTTTGTGATGTGAAAGGTGGAAAATCTTTTGCTTTTTGTTAAACCTTTAGGTTGAACATTTCCCTCCACAAAAGGTACATCACACTTTATCCGTAAGTACTTTAGATGTTAGGATTCATAGATTTCCCGCAATTTGTGGGCACTTGAGTGTTGATATCTTGTGCTAAACTCAGGTTCTCAGGTGAAAGGTAACAACATTGTAGAGGTGTCCTTAGTGCCGCTCCTGAATTGAAGATAATCTCTCCTCCAGCTTTGCATTTTACACTGTATGTTTAACAACTGGCTTCTGTATTTTCTGTGAAGGGTGTAATAACTTCCACAAGATGGCTAAAGTTCATCTTCCATTACTAAAATTTATGGCTTTTACTTTAGTAAACAATTTGTGACATTTTCTTACTAACCTCAAAGATGAAAGACTATATAATACAGCAATTAGTGTTATGCTGGTAATAATGCCTAAAAAATAGTTCCATTCTCTTCCTATAGTGTACTGCCAAATAAATGTTTGACTAAAAAAATGTTTAAACAAGGCCTAATAGCCATCTATACTTTGATGAAGGCATACAAGATATGGCAGTTTAAAGCTGGCTTAGCTAATATCGATCATCTGGCTCTTCAGTTCTACCCCTGCAGACAGACTGATCAAAAACCGATGATCCTAGACTGTATTAAGATGTGCCTTCACTAGATAAAGATTTACCATTCTGACTTCTCTCTGCATTCCGCATCTTATTTAAATTCTGAGGAAATGTTGTTCTATACACAGATCCTCTTTCTTTAGTTGAAGAGAAAACTAGCCTCTGCAGTTTGGGTTCTCTACTGTGAAAAACAAAAACGATTTCATTTGTTTTAGCAGCCAGAAAGTTTAGAACCAAAATTGTTGTCCAAGCTCTACTTGCTAAGTGGGGTTGCCTGAAGCTATGTAGTTCTGTGCTGTTTTGTTAAATGTCTTCTTTTTTCTTTTAAAGATTTTATTTATTTATTTGAGAGAGCGAGAAAGAGCACATGAAAGGGGGAGGGTCAGAGGGAGAAGCAGACTCCCAATGCGGGACTCGATCCTGGGACTCCAGGATCATGACCTGAGCCGAAGGCAGTTGCTTAACCAACTGAGCCACCCAGGCGCCCTAAATGTCTTCTTTAAAGGCTCTATTTTGTAGGCCTCTTCATGTCCTTTTAAAAGAAAATAGGATACAACTTTCAAAAATATAGTTACAAGTGACTATATTTAATGTAGTTAAGCATACTGTATTAGTTTCTACTATAATGTAGGTGTTAAAGATGGACTTAACAACTGTTTTTATAATGGATATAATTTTACATAGAAAATTGCTAGTTTTCCTTCATGATCATGAAGAATGAGATCACAGTTGTATTAAATATTTACTATGCTGTTCAAATGTTGGCTGGCTACTAACTACTAGAATGCCTATTCAACATAGCTACTAAAAGAATTTCTATCTAATCTGGCTCTGGCTCATTAGTTCAATGAATACTACATTCATTAAGTCTTTCTACCTTCCCAAATTTTATCTTTAAAAGAGGAAATTAGGCTGACTTTAAAAAATGTTAAATCATGAATATACTATCTATAGGTTTTCCTGTCTCCTGGATATTATATACTTTTAAAAAATAAAAAAATGTGATACAAGAAATATTTTGAAGGGGTATTTTATATGTATCATATTTAAAGGTCCCAGTTTTCACTAATCTGAGAAAACCCATACATGTGATATCTTAAAAAACCAATGAAATTCAGTGAAACTTTAATTTCTCATTTCATTGAGAATTTGCTATAAAAAATATCAAAATGAAAATTTCTTTCTTTAAAATGGCATGTCTGTGTTAGTTATAATTTGATAAATGGATTCCTTTCCATATATACCTTAAGATCCAAAATCTCAGGGCAATAACATGGTTGAAGAATCATGTAACAATGCATTTAATTTTAATGTAAGATTTGTGTAGTGATTTAGAACAATAAATAACACACAGTGAAAATTTCATCATAAACTAAATGCAATAACAAAAGGAAACAAACGCTTACGTACACATTACCAAGGTCTTTACAGTAAGTTATAACTTTCGTTCCGTCACAGCGTATTTGTACATAAAGCCACTAATGTGAACACTGAAAGAAATCGCTCATGTAGGTCTTTAATCTTGATTTAATAAAGTTTGTACAGTATCAAATAATATCAAAAGTCTAAAAAAACACAATGAGTTTTTATATCATGTTTATAAATTATTGTTTATATACCATAAAAAAAAACATAAGGTCAAAAGTGCAGTTTAAAAAAAAGTGGAAGTTGTTATTCTTGGTAAGAACTAGAAAAATGTATTGTCCCAAGTAAGAAGCAATCTGAGGGCTCTTACAGTTTCTTAGGAATTTTCCTTTAACTCTCATACAACCTTCGCTACCATATGCCATAACATAAACCAATACAAAGCGAGCAAAATCATCTTGTAAAAATAACAGGAAACACAAATCTGGTGATGAGAAACACTGCAAAGAAACATAATTACCAGCCTCCCCCAAGATGAATGAAACGACTTTGCACACAGGAATGAATGGGCCACCACCGCATGTGACCAAATTTGGGAAATTTGAAAGGGTTTCCAGAAGTTTTAATCTTTTTCAAGTTTTTAGTCATAACTGGGAAGGGTGCATACATCCTAGGATTATGAAATCTTTTAGTATAAGACAAAATATGACTTAAAGGTGATAAATCATATCATCTACTATTCACAAAAAATAAAGACTAAGGATCCAGTAATTAAAAGGCAGCAATATAGAAATTAGTCAAGAAGAAACAGATGGGCGAAACAGAACTCTGGGTCTTCACTGGCACTCAGCACAGTAACGAGTTATATTTTGACAAATTCTAGAACAAATGCCTGTATTGAAATATGTGTGGTTCATTAACCATTTATGTTTATGTAAGAAACCAAAATGGTAAAATCACGGACTTATAAAACAAATTAAATTTAGAGGGGGAAAAAAAAAAACAAAAGGAATGTAGAGACAAATCTTATTTTTAAACTTATTGTGGGATCAGAATGTTGACAAGCTGTACCAATCCAGAGCAGTATTCCTGTTGCTAAGCCTAACAGGCAGCCTGAGCCTGGCTCAGCACCACCACCCCCCTCTTCAAATGCTATTTCGCTGGTACTTTGTGTGTGTGACATCAAGCAATAGTGAGTTATTTTGTTCATGGACCGGAGGAGGTCCCTTGGTTGGTTTAACACACTTCACTGTTACAGTAGGTTAGTGGGAACAAAGGTCTTGCTAGTTTTGATAGGAGAAAAGGGCTGGCCGCTGAAGAGTATGGGTGCTCTGTAGGCTGCATACATACATACACACTTAATAATTAATGTCCCCTTAGTAGAAGATTAAAAATCGATGGATATGGACGCTTGTGCAGAATCTTCTCGCCCTCTGACATAAATTTCACAAGGAATCTCCTCCATTACTCTGTCTTCTAGGGCCTGTTCAGGGCACTCATGTGCCTGTTTGAAAGTGTAGCTACTCTTTTTAAAAGTGCTGTTAAATGTTTTCATTGGCTGTGGCTGTGCAAAATCATTTCGGAAAGGCAGTTCCATGGAACTCAGGTTGGTCCTGCTCTGTTTGACACTGGGTGCTTGCGACCCACAGTGATGGTCATGAATGCACCGGGAGGCAGTGGAGGAGTGCCGCATCTTCTGGTAGTTGTCCAGTTCTTCTGACAAGTCGGCTAGGTCTGCAGAAATCTCTTTGTCCCGTAGGGAAAACAGTTCATAATGAGGAGGATCAAACACTTCCTGAAATCCAGTTTTATTAAACGCAGTTTTGCAAGCCATGACCTTTTTTCGAGGCTGTTTCACTTGTACTAAAATAGAAATAATGAGAAGGACCAAGACAATCCCTGATGTGATGCCAATAATTGTTCCATGGGTTTTAGTGACTTGTTCAAATAGTCCTGCTTTTTTCTTTTCTGCAGAAAGAGAGACAACAAGGCTTTCAAAATTCATTAATGAGTCCTGTCACAAACTGGTAAGGTTATTTTTAGGTAAAGCAGAACACATGGGTCAAATACACTATAGATGATACCATTTAAAATTAGGTTTTTAAACAAAATAATCCCATTATGATTTCTGGTTAAACTAACCAATCACAATATAGTCAGATAGATTACATAAAAGAAAAAGGACTTGGTTCTTTACTCAGAAGGTACATGAAGGCATACAATTTGCAAATCAAATTAAAAACATGAATCTAGGGGCGCCTGGGTGACTCAGTTGGTTAAGTGTCTGCCTTCGGCTCAGGTCATGATCCCAGGGTCCTGGGATCGAGTCCTGCATCGGGCTCCCTGCTCAGTGGGAAGCTTGCTTCTCCCTCTCCCTCTGCCCCTCCCCTCACTCATGTTCTCTCTCTCTCAAATAAATAAAATCTTAAAAAAATAAAAATAAAAACATGAATATAGAGAAAATGCCAAAAGAAATACTCTTGTTCTATCAAGTTAGCTTTTTGCTCTGTGGTATGTTTGACCAACTGCCACATTTAAGTATATCCACAGTATTTCCACTGATGGCCATCAGCAAGAGAGGACAAAAGTGATCAGGCTAACCCACTGAGGTATATCATCACGATCAACCGTTTGAATGATTACCTGAAAATACTTCATGTCAAGTACTTAAGACAGCTGTATCAGATCACACTCACTTCTCATAGTAAGATATTTACTGAACTCTTGGAGAACAGAAGGCAGGTAAACGTTAAGACTTCAAAACTTTAAGATTTGATAATGTCTGTAGATATTCAACTATTACCACAAGTCATGTTTACCTTAGACATACACTAGAAATACAGCATAGGAAATTTTATAAAATGAAAAAAAGCAGTTCTTACTAGTCTGCTTTTACTGCTTTTTAAGATTGAATCCGTCAATATTTATTAAATAGTATTTCTATATTTTTTTTCTATATTTTTAAAATACTACTACTCTAGGTTACTTTCTAAATTATTCCGAGAATAAGGTATCTTTACAATACAAATGACTAAGAAAATAATGCAGGAAACATTATGGTGGACTTTCGAACAACTTAAGATAAAAAACATACTTTGTAAGAAAAAAAAGAATGCTTTCATTGAGAATAAGTATTTTTCTTTGCTTTTATCACATATGAGAGTTGTATGATCCATTTAAAAGAACATTTATATTCTATGTTTCCATTTCAGCCAAAGCAGCTACGCTAAACAGAGTTACAGAAAAGGACATTTTAAGTTTTTCTTAAGGGCAATGGCCATTTTTCTCTCAAAAAGGTTGGGCTTTGCCAACGCACTCACCTTTACAGTGATTTTCGTCCCAAGGGTATGCACAGTTCTGAACACCGTTACACACTAAAGAACTGTTGATGCACATGTTGCTGTGGCAGAAGAAAGTGCCACCTGTGCAGGGAGCTGCAGGCAAGAAGAACAGTTTGTTGCTGAGAACTCCTCCTGGTTTATTTACACTTCAACTTGTTCGATGAATACACTCTGCACTACAGAAGCAGTAAGATAAGGGCCGATACTCTCTGACATGTTCTCAGGTAAAAACTCTTTACTTCTGCTGGGTGCCAAATGTCATGTTTAGTGTAATGAGAATAGGAATACATTTACCATGGTGCTTACGGAACCAGTACATAGCCTGGCAAATTTTTTCAAAATGTTACAAGAAAATATTGGTGAGGATGTGGAGACACTGGAACCCTTGGTGCATTGCTGGGGGGATGTAAAATGGTACAGCGGCTGTGGTAAACAGGATGGAGTCTCCACAAAAATCCACACCAATTACCATCTGCTCCAGCAATTCCACGTCCAGGTGTGTACCCCAAACCACTGAAAGCAAGGACTCAAACAGAGCACACCAATGATCGTGGCAGCTTTATTCACAAATCACACAGCAGCATTATTCCACCAAAAGGGGGAAACAACCTAAATAAATGTTTGTTGATGGATGAATGGAGAACTGCAATGTGGTATATACATATCTAATGGGATATTATTCAGGGTTAAAATTCAGAAGGAAATTCTGACAAATGCTACAACATGGATGAATCTTGAAGACAATATGCTTGAAAGAAGCCAGACACAAAAGAACAAATATTGTATGATTCCAGGTATATGAGGTACCTGGAGCAGTCAATTCATTGAGAGAAAAAGAGAACATCAGCTACCAGGACCCGGTGGGAGAGGGGAATGGGGTGTTTAATAGAACAGAGTTTCAGCTGGGGATGATAAAAAAGTTCTAGACATTGGGGTGCCTGGGTGGCTCAATCAGTTAAGCGTCTGCCTTTGGGCTCAGGTCATGATCCCAGGGTCGGGGCTCTCTGCTCGGTGGGGAGCCTGCTTCTCTCTCTCCTTCTGTGCTCTCTCTCACTCTTGCTCTCTCAAATAAATAAATAAAATCTTAAAAAAAAAAAGTTCTGGAGATGGATAGTGGTGATGATGAATGTACTTAATGCCACTTAAAAATGGTTAAAATGGCAAATTTTATGTCATGTAGATTTTACCAGAAAAAAAATCACTCCTTGGAATTTCAAAATTAAAATTTTTTTAAACGATAAAGATATATGGAATATATACCATGTAACATCATATTTTGTATAAACCATTCTTTCAGCCTGAGATGTCTCCTCCTTTCCCTTCCTGATGACCACCTACTCATCTTTCAAGATCATCCAAAATGCTGCCCTCTCTGTGAAGATTGCCTCAATTCTCCTAGATAGCTAGTGCGACTCCTGTGTTCCCGTCGTACTCTGGATGGTGCTTCTATGTGACACTTCTTGTATATGTAAACATTTGCTACACTAGATTATGACTCAGTGTGTTTACTTCTGTTAAGAAATAACGACCTAGATTGGAGACAAAAGTACCAACACAGTAATAATGTGTATTTCAGTGTAAAGACACACACACACACACACACAAGAATCTGAAAGTCAAGAAACACGATGGCTTGTCTCTCACACTGACAGAAGCCCCTAAAAATCAACTAATCATTGTGACTTCCAAAAATATAATCAAGAAAAATGTATTTCCTGTCTAAAAAATTCTACTTTTAAGATACGTGTCTCAGCATACTGACAGACCTCAAATATTTTTTATATTTTCTTTTTAAGTTTCTTTTCAAGATGAAAAGAAATATGTAAAATTTTACAGGACTAATAATAACTGGATTTTCTCCCCTAAATATTATCTTTTTAAAAAATAAATATACAATGAACCTTATCAAAACAATTAATTTAGTATTTCTTTTCCTCTTAAGAAGTCTCTCTCTTTAGGTTACAATCATAGGAAGCTTTGGAATACTTAAACACATTGTCCAACTGCATCATCAGTAATAAAACCAACAGTTTGGTAAACACAAAACAGTTTGGTATCCACCTGCCTGACCCCCTTTGTGTATTTCTCAATTTGGCTCTGAAGATGGGCTGTAAAAATAGGTATGTATTGGGACCCCAGGAAACCCTAAAACATAATGTGATATTTATCAAATATTTACTAGATTTATAATGTAGCTCAACAGACAACATCCACAACATCACTGATCATCAGGGAAACGCAAATCAAAACCACAATGAAAGAATACCTCACACCTGTCAGAATGGCTATTATCAAAAGGACAAGAAATAAGTGTCAGAGGAGATGTGGAAAAAAGGGACCCTTTGTGCACTGTTGGTGGGAATGCAAACTGGTGCAGCTACTGTTGAAAACAGTATGGAGGACCCTCAAAAAATTAAAAATAGAATTACCATATAATTCAGCAATTCCACTCTTGGATATTTATCCGAAGAAAATCAAAACACTAATTCAAAAGATACAGACATCCCTATAGGTTCATTGCAGCATTATTTACAATAGCCAAGATACGGCAGCAACCTTAGTGTCCATAAATGGATGAAGATGTGATACATACATAAAATGGAGTATTACTGAGCCATAAAAAGGAGTGAAATCTTGCCATTTGTGACAACATGGATAGACCTAAAGGGTATTATGTTAAATGAAATAAGTTAGAGAAACACAAATACATATGATATCACTTACATGTGGATTGTTAAAAAGCAAAACAAATGCACAAACAAAACAGGAATATTCACAGATATGGAGAAAAAAACTGATGGTTGCTATAGGGCGGGGGGGTGCGGACACAGGACAAAGTAGGGGAAGGGGACCAAGAGGAACAGTCTTCTGGGTATAAAATACATAAGTCACAGGGATGTAATGTGCAGCACAGGGAATATAGTCGGTAATATTGTTTTTTTTTTTTTTAAGATTTTATTTATTTATTTGACAGAGAGAGAGAGACACAGCAAGAGAGGGAACACAAGCAGGGGGGGTGGGAGAGGGAGAAGCAGGCTTCCCGCTGAGCAGGGAGCCTGATGTGGGACTCCATCCCAGGACCCTGGGATCATGACCCGAGCCGAAGGCAGACGCTTAACGACTGAGCCACCCAGGTGTCCCTATAGTCGGTAATATTGTAAACAACTTTGTATAGAGAAAGATGGAACCTAGACTTATTGTGATCATTTTGTAATGTATGTAAATATCAAATCACTGAAACTAATACCATATTGAGTGAATGTCCCCAATTATTCTTCAATTAAAACAAACAAAAAGTAACATCCAAAATTGCTTTGCTATTAGAGAGCAAATATAATCTCTCTTTAAGGCAGAATCCCCAAAATGGTAACAGTCACCCAAGTTCCAGTTCAGCAGGCTAATAATCTATGGTTAATCGCTATGAGCTAGGATTTGTGTAACCCTTCTCCTTCCGTACTATAAACTAAATTGAGTTTAAGCATGAGTTTTATCTATATGTGATTAAATAATCTTTCTTTTTTTTAAAGATTTTATTTATTTATTTGACAGAGAGACTGAGCCACCCAGACGCCCCACAATTAAATAATCTGTGCACAAAACTTTTAGGCTTATTTGCTGAGTACCCACTCCTTTTCAAGTATAATAACCCGTAGGTGGCTCTCATGACTCAAGAATCTAAAATAAAATAGCTAAGAACTGTAACTTGGGAAATAGTGCTATGAAACAGAGAGTAGAAATAACAATGGACTAGTAATTAATAAAAATTGTTTCTGTTATTAGTTAACCTGTCTACTTTAAGATTTTAACTAACTCCCTGGGTGTCTGCTTCCTCTTTTTAAAAGAATGGGATGGACTATAGGGTATTTCAGACTTCTGGTTCTAAAATCAATGAGACTGGCTCAGTTGGTTAAGTGTCTACCTTTAGCTCAGTCATGATCCCAGGGTCCTGGGATGGAGCCCCGTGTTGGGCTCTCTGCTTAACGGGAGTTTGCTTTTCCCTCTCCCTCTGTCCCTCCCCACCATTTATGTTTTCTCTCTCTCTCTCAAATGTAAATTCTTGAAAACAAAACAAAAAAATAAAATAAAATCAACGAGACTATGAAATTAGTGGTCTCAATCATGTTATTACTATTCTCAGAAGAATCATGTATATATCCAGTAAGTAATTTACTCAGAGACTGAATCCATCACATGGTATCATTTAACCATTAAGTATTTCATGATTCTTGGGCACCTGGGTGGCTCAGTTGGTTAAGCAACTGCCTTTGGCTCAGGTCATGATTCTGGAGTCCTGGGATCGAGTCCCGCGTCGGGCTCCCTGCTCAGCAGGGAGTCTGCTTCTCCCTCTGACCTTCCTCCCTCTCATGCTCTCTCTCTACCATTCTCTCTCTCTCAATAAATAAATAAAAATCTTAAAAAAAAAAGTATTTCATGATTCTTAAGAAATGCTTGATGGTTTCAAAGCTTACCGAAAGGACAAAAGGTATTAGTTACATAAATAAGCCATTAGGTTGAGGACAGAAAAGCCAATGAAAATGTATGGTGTTATTTTATTTCAGTACAAAATTAGCTAGTGTCCCTACCTCAGCTGTGTCATATAGATCGTAAAATTATATTACACCCAGGTGTGCACTTTAACATAACAAATGGCCTAGAGAACACACAGCATTTTTGAATACTTCTAAAAACTGAGTTTTCCGTTTTGTTTCTATGTCATACCACAGTTCTATTACAGACTATATCATATTACCTACTGACCTCTAATTTTACCAGTCTTATCCAGTTCACAAATGAGGAGACAGGGAACAGAAACTATTCAGGAAGGGCTGAGTGAGGTTATAAGCAGCACTGTGGCTTCTAGGTATTCTGATTTTGAGTCAAACTATCATTAGCTCTTAAAGTTTATTCACAGAACATTGTGTGACACAGAACATTTTGATGTCTCTTTATAATCCTCAAAAGGGAAGAAAAAGATTTTCTGATCGGTGTTTCTCACTGATTGAACAGTGAGTAGAAAACACCCTCATTTTTTTTTTTAAAGATTTTTATTTATTTATTTAACAGAGAGAGAGAGAGCACAAGTAGGCAGAGCA